AACTTACAGAGAGGGATTTATTGTCCCTCTTTGTGAAACAGTAAACTTGAGGGAACTCAAACTGAAGTGATGGGAAGTGAAGGATCATCACAATTTCAGCCTCTTGCTTGTCCTCCCTCTTCACAGAATTGCCGAATGAATAAAAGCTCCTGTCTTTCTTCCTCAGTTTTCCCACTCGTATTATTTCAATCGACGGTGGAAAGGTTTGTATTTCATGTATAACATTCAGTACTTTATAGGGCTACTTCGACAGAAGTTCGACCCAACGCACGTAAACCAGACCCATGTTAAGAAATAGAGTAGGCAGGTCATGTGTAATTTTATTCAACGGCACCTTCTGAACTCTAAGGTCATGTAAACTTATGAACTCCCAGGCAATCGCATGGACAGACTGAGGAAAGTGACAAAACCTCTGTCAGGAAAATGAACCACCCGTCCTAGATTCGACTTGTACATCACATGAAAGTCAGGCACGTTACCGCCCATTTAATGTATCCATCAGTCTAATCGACTGCAGACACCACGCGCTTTTATATGCAGAAGATTAAACTAATCCAGTAACCGTAAAACTGAAAATAAGTGATTGCACTTTTCATGTAAAGCTATTCCTATTGGATTTCTTTGCTTAACTTGTATTTCCATTTGAAGTGACTATACTTTTTTATGTTGAGAGCCATACTAGGATACTGTTTATCTCCAGACACAGATCATAGCTTCTGGTGGGAAGGGTAGTGCAGTGACTTCATGTCCCTGTAAGGACTGCCACACAGATCCGAAGTAGCATGCTGTTAGCTCTTACAGTTTTACACATTCTGTATCAAACCTGACTGATTTTCGAAAATCTGTACACGAGCGGAATAGCCATATCATGCACTTGTTGCACAAAGTTTATGAAACGAACGCACGAAAGAGATTGTGTCTGTCCGTCCGAATGTTTCATATGAGGAATTACTCAACGGATGTCATTATGATTTGACATTTGGGTTTACACTAAAAATTATTGATCGGCTTTAATACAGGTTATATCTGGCAGATATAAGTACTACTTTACACGAAACTTAAGTTTTCCGAAAAAGATCATTCTAAGAACTATTGTAGGCTTATACAACCTAAAATGTGTGCGTCTTACGGATTTTAGTCTTTCCGATACATGAATATTATTGTGTGTGGATTCAATGCGGTAATCTAGTCGTTTTAAGTCTTACATCACTTTTTGCATTTTGTGTGCGTTCTGTCGCCGTCCTTCCACACAATGTAGTTATTTCTGATTCCAAATTCACACGGCTCTTCCCCCTCTCTAGCGTGTTGCTAAGCGCGGTGTGTCATGTTGGTAGTGGTGATCACGAGGAGAGATGCGGTTTATTGAATGAAGTACTGGAAGCAGGAGTTAGTGTTGGATTGCAAGCAGGTAAGAGCAAAATGGCCTGTAGGCGATGCAAAGTACAGTTTGGAAATACACTAGAACTGAATCCATATATTCCAAACACAACTCAATCTAAAGAAATCGTTTTATCAAACGACTTGCCTCATAAAGCAGTTTCATTCAAGCTTCGATTTGCGTTCAGTGAAATACTGATAATATTTAATGTCGAAGTAAAATATGTATATAGTGCATATTTTATGTGAGAAAAAATTATTTGCGTAATTCAGGGCTATCTATCTGCTTCCTGAGAGTTAAAACAAGTCTCTAGTACCAGTTATAGAACCTGACGGTTCAGTATCTAGTACAATAGTTTCTCGTTTGACTTTATTTTAAACCAATTCAGTGCACCTCAGTATATCAGAACCTATTTCACTCAGATTCATTTCAGTATTCCCTCCCAGTATTTGGCTCTGGATGGAGTCCAGTAATGGGCTTTTGCGAAGACGGCAGTGAAATTTATGTTCACAAAAATGTGAGGAAACTCTTGGTTATTAATTAACTATAAGCAGCTTCTCGAGGACGTTTCCCAATGCAGTTTCTTTTTAATTCGCTTAGTGAGGGGTGAGTCCAACTGGGTGCACTCGGCATGGCGGCCACTGATGGGCCTATTGTAGCCTGCCCCGGGTGATTATGATGATGGAGAATTTTGTGGAATGAAGATTGGCAGGGGAAACCGAAGTACTCGGAGAAAACCCGACCCAGCGCCACTTTGTTCACCACAAATCCCACTTGACCAGACCCGGAATCGAACCTCCCAATGCAGTTAGTTTGATCGGTATCTTGATCCTTCATGTAATCTTTAAATGCTATTCCATTTATTCTGCAGCACATGTCTGTTATTTAATTGTACTGCGTTCGCCATTTTAATTCTTGTTGATTCTAATTGTCAGTTGTTACTGCGAAACCAATTTTTAGAATACCTTTCCCATGACGAAATGTCTGATAATAAGGCAACATGTTTGTTCGGTCAGAGAGCCAGGTAAGCTCCTTCAACGCTCTAATATTGTTTCTTAGTGCTCACCTCGTCCTCAAGGTAAGGAGGATGAAGTGGGCAGGACATGTAGTACTAATGGGGGAGAAGAGGAATGCATATAGGATATTGGTGGGAAAGCCAGAAGGAAAGAGACCACTAAGGAGACCAAGGCGTAGACGGGTGCGCAATATTAAAATTAATCTTAGGGATATAGGATTGGATGGGATTGATTTGATTCATCTGGCTCAGGATATGGACCAGTGGAGGGCTCTTGTGAACACGGTAATGAACCTTCGGGTTCCATAAAATGCTGGAAGATTCTTGAGTAGCTGCAGAATTGGCGGCTTATCAAGAAGGGCTCAGCTCCATGGGTTATTTTATGACCCTGTCAATAGCTAGCCTATATAGTGTCGAATGTTAGGTTGAGTGCGAAATTGGAAATTAATTAGAAGGAAGTTGTCTTAGCATAACCTGGGCAATATCCTGGTATTTTCTTGGAGGGACTGACCAAACCCACGAAAAAAAAAAATTCTGTAGGGAGAGGCAGTGTCCCGGATGCTATTCGAATCGAACAATTTCCGGATAGAAATCCAGAATCCTATTGTTAGACTAACCTGCTCAGAATTAAAGCGAATTAAAATGAATAAAACCTGCATAACAGGCTCAGAGTTGAATGTCGCACAAGCAGGTAGAGTGGACAATAACGCACTGTTCTTCCTATAACAATGTCAATTTCTTTTCGAATACAGGATAAGGTTGTTCATTGAAAATTAATAAAACTAATTAGTTACATGAATATGTATTTTACAGCACAGACAAGAACTGCTGTGTCTCGACATTATGACAAATTCTGATGACGTGGACTCACGTGAATACGTAAGTTTGTCAGGTTAGATAAATTAACAAATACATGAAATCCAAGAGGTAACATAACGATGGAGAAGCACAGTACTGTGGACACACGAATAGCGTTGAAAATTGTTATGAAGATGCTGCAGTACTCCATTTGTATTAGAATTTGATTAATCCATTTTGACAAGCAGTGGACTTCTTATTATCCGTGTTCTCTATTTCGAATGTCGTCGGGGACATAAATAGTTCTAATGATTTATGATAATCACATATTTATCTTATCGTTTGTACAGACCAGTCACCATTTGAGTTGCCTTACTCAACGGTTCAGATAGGTTGAACGATGTGTCTGTTGCCACAACTATGGTGAGGTGATACAAATTATTTGTGATGATAAAACTTATTTGTTCCAAGGGAAAATTATGTTATTAACTGTGGTAAATATTACTTTAAGCTCACAATTCCTTTATATAATTTATAGTGCAGACAGACAAAAAGTGCCTCTTAAAATAATCTGTTTCGCGACGGTGTTTCACTCGCCCTTTCAGTTTGGGAGTTCTCTCCAGTGAACACTTTTTCGGGAGACATTCCTCTTTATGCGAAATTCAAGGTTCCCATAGCGGTGACTATGAACAGTACATTCTATCTTCTGGGAAGTCATGCTTTGTAGTCTGGAAGTTTACCGACGTTTCGGAGGAATGCACTGTCTCCAGCTTAGCTCTGCTTACTGTTCTACCGTAGATGGAAGTAATACGTTCCTGCAAAAGGTCGGTCAAGGTCGGTCAGATTCTACGAGACTACAGGCCGTAACATTTCAAGAGGTGTTACTCCTCTTTCCCTTAACATTTCTCAGAATTGTCCATAAAATACCCCCGCACAATTAATTAAGAAACTGTGCCGATCTTGGTTTTCCAAATGAATTAGGGATTGTTCAATAATATAAGACATTTCCTGCCGTTAGAAGTATTTAAATGGAAGAATTTGTGAGAAATATAGTGTAAAAGTGTAACCACTGGACTACATGGTGCAAAATTTATCTCACTAATACGAAATTTTCCCTCCTCTACGCGACACTTTGGGATGTTGTGGACTTGTGTAATTATTTGTGTTAAATCATTCACAATGTCACATGTTTAGGTCGTTATTCAACCATAAAGGCCGCGCCATAGCCCAAACGGTTAGTCGCTGGCTTCCCACCGTGGCGGCCCGGGTTCGATCCTGGGTCTGGTCAAGTGGGACTTGTGGTGGACAAAATGGCGCTGGGGCAGGTTTTCTCCGAGTACTTCGGGTTTCCCTGCCAAACTTCATTGCACCAAATTCTCCATCATCATAATCACCAGGGGCAGGCTACAATAGGCCAATCAATGGCCGTCGTGCCGAGTGGACCCAGCTGGACTCCACCCGCCACTAAGCGAATTTAAAAATTTTGTATTCGGGCACACCGAAAGAATCGAGATAAACTGGAGGTAACACGCTGAATTAATTTCATGAAAGCGTAGTTGGCTTTTGAAACCATTTTGCGGATTAATCCTTTTTGACGAATGATTTAATTTAATTTAATGAACACTAATTCCTTTAAATCCCATTTTACGGCTTAAATATTGAACTAAGAAGAAATAAATCGGTAATGAACCTATATTTCTGCCGTTGTATCAATAGAATTATTGTCTTCTGTCTTTCGTAGCGTAGTTTTGTGTGCAAGTAGTGGCTACATTGCCTGTCCGTTTCCCCTCTTATTCCAGCAGCAGTCAGTTGAAGCCTGGAAGGATGTGGAGGGGTAATGTTGGCTATTGTATTTTGAAAGTGTATGTTGTCGGTAGGCGGTCTGGCCGGTCTGGCCTTTCAGAAACAGCATTTAGTGGTAGTGCGTCGTGTTCGTGTGTGAGCAAACTTGTGATAGAAGCCCAACCAGCTACTCCAGATATCGACCTGCATTTTACAACCCCGAATTCGGCACATAAAAGTAGAGGAGAGTAGAACGGTGCAGTGCTATGTTTACAAGCTGCAGAATGTGCGGGTAGCGCTTGTCTTCTGCGTATGAGGTAAGGAAATTATATTACAAAATTACACATCATACTGAATCGTATTTCAAGTACCATAACTCGGTTATTAGTGTGGGAACCAGTTCGTAAACTTCCATTCTCTGTGATAGGAATTGAAGAAGAAAATAAAGAGTCGCATAAAAACCCATAGCCACAGAGTAGAGCTACAAACAATTTGAAATGGACGATTGCATTTATGAATAAAAATTCGTAGTCCGAAATAAAATATATCGTTTATAAAGGAATTTATGATATAGAAGACCTAATTTATATTAAAAATGGTATACATAATCACACGGAACTTGCGAAAGTGCCATTAGAACTATTCGGAACTAGTTTCAAACGAAGGCAGATGTTACTTCAGTTTAGAACCGATTTAAAAATAATAAAATATAAGTTAAGATGCTTTCTAGATATGTTTTTACCTCTGCCCATGTGAACAAAAGTTCTTGACTACATTAGTGCTGAAATGACACCAACGTACATAAACGAGACTGCTACTTCCTTATTCTTTGAATTACCATGTTGTGAAATTAAAATGGGATGCACTTGGAACTGGATCCATATTTTTTTACGACTAATACAACAACACAAGATTTTTTATGGCTTTAACACAGTTGCAATATTCATCACCGTAAATGCTTCAGTTTTTATATTGTTATTTCCCTTTATTATGGAATATTACGTCATTTTCCTAAAATGTACAGTTTGTGGATGCTGTTGGGGCACAAGTGGCCTCAAATATTAAGATATGCACGAAAGACTTGAGGTTTTATATATTTTGAAACTTGGGGTTTGTACATTTATTTTGATCAGTGTAATGCGTCGCCGTAAATCTGTATTTACATTAATTTCGAGATTGCTGGAGTTGTAATATTGTCTTAAAATCGTTTCCCATCGCCAGTTACATCAGAACAGTATTTTCATATGTAGGGGGGTACGTGTGACGAAAATAACGGGTTCTAGATAGGATGATTAATTTATTGGCACCTCGGTTACAAGTTCTCTTAATCACATTCAGTTATAACGCTGCCGCTATGCTACACGCATTCATTTTACCATTGCACACGCACTAGGATTCTCCGTCTTCACTAGTCGTTTCCTGGCAACGGATCACAACACAGAAACTAAGTCTTCTCTTCACAGTCACCCTTACAGAACTGAACTCTCAGTTTGACTCACCTGACTCTCGGAGCTCTTTGTTCCAATTCGTTCTCCTCCTACTGAGCACGAGTCTGAGTATGAGTCTGAGTCTTAGTCTTATGTTATGATCGACGGTCAGTCAGTTTGTCTTGGAATGAAGCACGCATCTGAAGCTTACGACAAGATTTTCTTTACTGTCAGACTGTTGCGAGTTTGTTGATGTGGGGCGCTCTCTCTGAGGAGAGGACGGGTTCTGTCGTTTATAGTTGCTGCTGGTCCTCGCCAGCGCGTCATTCTCGGGTTCGAGTCCCTTGGGACACATGACCTTATTTTACTGTCTCAGATTCGAGACTTCCATTTTCATCGCCTCCTACGACTCGCAGGGTTACGGTGGATGTATTCGACACCGCCTCCGCAAGGGATTCTCATCCTAGTCAAAGTCAAAGTTACTTTACGACTGGAGGCTTACCGCCAATAAGTTCGTCTTGGCGCCAGGCCCCTTGAGGACTACGACTAGAGGTCTTCTTTCCAACTGAACTCTTGCGGTAACAGTCCTTACAAACACACGGGTTTGTCTCTTATGTACATCGTATATGCTTGGCTTTTCGTCAAGTGTATATTTCGCACATTCTCATCCTACCGCCATCAGTTCGTCCTGGCGTCATGCCCCTTGAGGCCCACGACCAGGGTTTCTTTCCAACTGAACTCGTGCGGTAATAGCCCTTATGTAACATCCTCTCTGATGAGAAGATTGGTTTGTCTCTTATAAATACACTTGACCTTTCGTTAAGTGTATATTTCACACATATAACATGTTATCGAAAATTCTCCCTTTTCCACTACACAAGTCCTCTGTCAGTACAGGCTTTACAGAGCAGATCATGCCTAACTTACATATCTTATGCTACAACGACAACTTAGTCATTTGAACGGTCTTAAGCTTGACCACCGCCAAGTTTAAGTCTCTTATATTTTCTGTGTCTGGTTTCACCTTGTCCTATACCGCGAACATGTTCATTCTCATGATTTTGTATGACTTCTGCCTGTCTTCTGCACACTTTTGTTATATAATCGTATACATACGGAAAGTTGGAAGCCGTGTGCAGGTCGCGGACTGGTGTGCACCTTGTAAAATTTCCAGTGCGCAGAACCTTGTTTTGCTTGCGCTGCAATTTTAGGAGGTGGACGTCTGCCGCTAATTCCCAGGCGGGACAAACATAAGTCATTACTGATCTGATCAGTGCCTTATGGAGGGTTACTTTAATGTTTGCGTTTAAACGCTCACTTTTGAATAGGGAGTAGTTTCTGAAAAATGTTCTGAAGGTCTTGGCTTCAATTATTTCTATGTGAAGTCTCCACGTAATCCTCTTAACGAAGATTACATCCAGGTATTTTACATGATTGACAAAGGGGATATTCTGCCCATTCAATGTAATATGAGCCTGAGGGGGGCCTAAGTCTGTGAGAGAAGTAGATTGCCTGAGTTTTATCTTCATTGATTGTTATGTTCCAGCGCTCAAACGTCTCAATAGCACTGAGACCTCGCTGCAGCTTTCTGAGAACAAACCCCTCTTTGCGGTCTGTCGCATATATACAGGTGTCGTCAGCAAAGAGACCTATATAGACCCCAGGTGTTTGGGGCTTTTCGTTTATATATAGACTGTACAGTGTGGGGGAGAGAACAGAACCTTGTGGCACTCCTGCTTGTATATCCCTTGGCGTAGACATTTCACCTTCGACTGAAACTCTGAATTTCTTTCTGAGAAAGGAAAGAGCTAATAAGCTTGATTAGACTTATCGAAAACTGTAATGTAGATAATTTATATAGAAAGCCAATGTGCCATTATGTATCAAAGGCTTTTTCAATATCCGAAAATACAGCTGTTGTAGACATGTTATTGTTGAAATTTAAGGTTACTTAGTTCATAAGCCTCATACTTTGAAGTGTCGTGCTATGACGGGCACGGAAACCAAACTGCCTTGCATTAATCAGGCATTTTTCTTCAGTGTGCCTTTGGACTATTTTAGAATAACTTTTTCGAATAGCTTGCCTATTGTAGACAAGAGGCTAATCGGGCGTAAAGTTTGAGAACATTTTGGGTCCTTACCGGGTTTAGGTAACGTTACAACCTTTTCTTATTTCCAAGGCTTTGGAAAATAGGACAGCTGAAGGCAGTGATTAATTGAATGCGTCAGATGTACCAGTGGTATTCTTGGAAGGTGCCTAAGGCATTCGTCTGGAATACCACCAAGTCCACAAGCCTTTCGCAATTTTAATGTATTTGTTAATTTATGTATGTCACAAGATTGTATTTTCCCCAACGGAGTGCCTTCTACAGATGCAAGCAGAGCTTCGACTGTAGTCTCCACCTGTCTCACATGGCTTTCGTTACGTAGGTCATGAGTTGTGAATTGATTTTCTAAACAATCCGCTATCACGTTGGTTTTCTCATCAGGGTGATATGTTACTCCTAAAGGTCCACGAACAGCGATTGCTGCCTTTGGTCCATCCCTTTTCATAAGTGATTTCGCAATAGGCCACAGAGCTTGAGGTGTGACCTCACAGTTCCCTATTTTTGTTTCCCACCGTTCTAGTGCCTTTCTACGGGTCATTTGCCTGATGGTTTTAGCGACTCAATTGAGTGGCGTTTTACATGCTGGATCCTGAGTTACTTGCCACAGTTTCCTTAACCTCCGCTTATGTTTCAGGAAACTTTCCAGACCAGGTATGTCCTTATTAAGGTCCGAGAGAGTAATTATGCTGGTCGGTAGCCTATACGCCGAAGCCATAGAGGCGGTAAAGTCGCGGGCCGCTTTATCGGCTTGTTCTTCCGAGTTAATTTGGATACTATGTGAAATTAATTCAGAGGCCAAGCTTTGAAACCGCTTCAGATCTGTGAATTTGTCAATCGGCTCCGAAAGAATGTCAGTTCTAACATGATCTAGCAAGTGGAGAAAGATTGGTAAGTGATCTGAGTCAAGAATATCAGAGATGATGACTTCTGACAACCGGACATTCTTGTGCACGTCACCATTTCCCGCAGGAGAGTAATGTGTGGGACTTTGTGGTGCTGAAATTTCAAACTCATTTATACGTAGTAAATTCAGCAGTTTCACGTCTGAAATATTGGAAACGACACTATTCCAAAATGGATGTTTAGTATTCAGATCTCCTGCCAGTATCGACTTATGTCTAAAGCTTAAGAGCTAGTGATGTCTGCATCGTTGCAGGTGTGGCCTAGGGACTTACAGACTGCTGCAAGTAGCACTTCGCTGTTACCAATCGGTATGCCAACTCCAGTGGCCTCTATTGAAACAAGCGGAGGCAGGTCTACTCGTTTGTGGGGAATGCCCTTTCTCACTGCAACGGCAGTTCCGCCTTTTTTTTTTCCTGGGAAGTGGTCAGTACGATAAAAGTGATAATTTGGAATAAGGAATCTCTCATGGGGGTTGACACGTGTCTCCGAGAGAAGAGCCACATCTGTATGTAAGTCTTGCAGCTGTTTACTGAGTCCATAGCGCTGCCCCCAAATGCTACGACTCTGAGCGGCCTATGAACTCTAGCAGCCATTTTGTTGCATGAAATTAAGTACCATTCTTGTAATGACCATTATTCTGTCTTCTTGCGATTGAGCTCCACTGAGCTCTGGCATGATCTGATGCACTATAGTGGCTACATGCACATACTGCTGAACTGGGTGCCGGACGCTTTCCTCCTCTGTCTGCGGTACCTTTGGTTGCTGATGGTGATTGTGTTGACGTAGTGCAGCTGTGTAGGACTGGTGAGGTCATCCCAGAGGATCCCTTGGGAGCTCGTTGTGCCCTTTTCCTTTGCAGTTCTCCTTTCGCATGGCTGC